CTGTCCATCTTAATCATTGCATTTACCATCTAGAGAGCTGCTTCAGCAAGCAAAGAGTAATTGTGCAGCCTGCAAAGAATAACTGTACAGCTTGTCCAAGAATGTGTAGAGGTCAAACTCTCCCAGACATCCATAAGAGCTTTCCCACACCACATCCAAACTGGCTAGTTTCTGGCTGGCTGAACCAGTGTCACAACACAGCGATCTCATTGCTGCCATCTGTGGAAGCAAAAACCTGGCTAGAGAGTCCTGCGGAATGCAAGGTGTAGGAACCAATGTCATCATATCTGAGCAAATATGAAATAAATGATATGCAAATCTGAGAACAGAAAGGACATTATCCATTTAGAGAAAGAGGGGGAAAGAAATATCGGATGGGAGGATGTTGCTACCACTAAGACAATTAATCTGTTTTAGAGCCTGCTCTCATGTTTGCCCTTGAAATGAGCACAGCCCAGACAAATTGTTCCAATGGTTTACAAATTATTGACTTCCAGTACCCAGATGCAAAGTAGAAGCCATGGGTGGCAATGCTCTGCTGGTTTCAATTAAAGGTTTGAACACAGTTCCCATGCCCTTCCAAGATAATATCCTCATCACTGACCTCTTTGAGACCTCTACCTCCATCTCCAAATCTGTACTAGACAGTATAAAATAGACACTGGTGTTTGGAAATGAAATCTCCTTGTTCCAGTTTGCTAATTCCTTATCTGCTGAACTATACATACTTTCTGGGTTTTCTTCCATATTAACTTTATACAATGTTATACAATATAGATTCTCTATGGATACCTGAAGAAGTCATTATCTTTTTGTGTATTTGCATGCTCCAAACTGAGGTTCATGTGCTCACAATTACCAAAAGAGAAAGAGGAAAGTGGAAGGTGTTGCACTATTGCAAGGTATTCTCTAACTTGCACATATGTTCAATATAGAAAGGGGATGTGCTCAGAGGTGTTAAAAGGTCGCTGGCTTCTGAGTGCATTTGGGAAGTCTGCAACAGAGAGTAGCTGTTTAATCTCTTCTTGAAATGTATTTTCTGTCTTTAATAAAAGCAGAACTATGCTGAGAATCCAGGTAGGTGATTTGTGAATTTTCAGTACGCTGCTGCCTCTGCTAAATCTCCACAGGTTAAACCTCCAGATCTGTAATTTCAGGTCGCCTCCTCATATTGATATTCCCAGGTATATGGCATAATCCACTACTCAAGTTTTCATTTAATAGTTTCACTCTATATTCCTGTTAAAGGATTTGTGTATTCTGTGTATATATGTCTTTCACTTGAAAGACATGTATACACAGAAAACTACATAGAGATCAATTTATCTACCTCAGAAGGATGAATAGACAAGAAAAAGATGACAGAATATGAGTCAATACCTCCAGAGTGGCTGAATATTTTGAATCTGATTGCTGAGAGGCAGGTGTCAATCCCTTTATTCAGAAGAGAACCTGTCTGTTGCATTTGGGCTGTATGTTTTGCTTTTATCATCAGTTGCACAGAAAATATATTTGAAAAGATGCAAAACTGAATTTTTTTTTTATTCAAGTTTTTATAAGAATTTGAGAATTGCTTTTCCCAGATAACAAAGTTGTCAAGAACGTGCATGCCCTGCATCTCTTCATCTCTTCCTCCAAGTCTCCCATCCTGTGCAAGAGACCTGCGACACTGAGGCAGCACAAAGGGGCTGTGTGTAACACCCATGAACAGAAAACTCTCCGGTTGGTAGGAAACTCCCTTTCAGCCCCAGCCATCACAAGCTGACTCTTGCCCTGTGCTTCTCCCCTGGCCTGGGAGAGGTGATATCTCAGGGCCAGAGGCTGTCACAGAGAGGAGTTACGCTAAGAACTTTTGTTGACAGAGTCCATTAAAGGATTTCAGCTAAGCAGTGGAATTAGAGCAGCCCAGGTGAGTGACATTTGAATTTGTGCTGGTCCTGCTCATAAGGGAAATGTAAATGGACTTATCAACATTGCAGTAAGATTACAGAGGGTAGGTGATGTGAGCATACCTTGATGTGTCAAAGGAAATCCCTCAATTTCCATTTTTTGCCCAGAACCTGCATCAGTATTTATAAGCAATTTCATTTTTATTCTAAAATATTGTGACCAATATGGTCACACCACTTCTGTTCTCCCTCCACGCCTCCCTATATTTTCATGGAGCAAGATACCCTCGAGTAGGTATAAGAACAGAGAACAGGCAGTGAATTAAAACACAGGTTTTTTTGAAAAAAAAAAAAAAAAAAAAAAAAGGAAAAAGAAACAAAAAATGTTTTCTGCTACATTTTATTATTCTGCAAATTTATGCATACTCAAGAATTACTAGAAATGAGGCATAGATCCTGAGTGGAAAAAAAAACCCTACATATGTATATGTAGGTGTGTTTATATATATATATATACATGTATGTCTGTGTGTGTACTTTTATACTGTAAGCAAAACTGCCATCATTTGCCCTAATCACAGCCATTCTGAGTAGAGGTCCAACCTGTAGCCAGTCCCACTCTAGGAGAGGCTGCAGCTATTATCACCTTCAGAAATTACCACTGCCACAACTGCTAACACATTTTTCCAATTAGTTTGAGGGAGGAAATGAGACATTTTTCTTCGTTAGTGCCTCTCTCTCTTCCTCTCCTTGCCCATCCATTTTATGCTTCCTGATGGTGCTCAGGAGGCCGTCGGGTTCCCTCCAGCACACTTCCTGCTTCCACGCAGCAGGAATAAACTGTTACCGCTTTGTTTGAAATAATTCCTGAGAAGTCTGAGTCCTCTCACCAAAATGTGAATAATTGTAGCATTTGACTCTTGGCTTCCTCCTCAGGGATCCTTCTGAGTTAAACAGTTATTAAATTTATCCTGACAGGGATTGCCAAAGAAAACTTTATTTGAAGGACAGAGGGGGGGAACAAACTGTTTGCTGAACTCAAAAAAGTTTGAAATACTATAAAGGGAGAGAAAAAGTCCCGTAATGGAAGGTGGAAATCTGGGACAGACAAATCAGGCCATAAAATGTAAGACCAACACAGCAGAGGGAAGCAGGAAAGCATATCCTGGGCCAAACATACCAAGGGAGACTATTACACACACTGATCTCAGACATCATATACAACATGCATCTGCAAACCACCTCATACTTTAAAGTCCCACATTACACTAAGCTCAACAAGTCCATGCTGGAAAGGAAGAGGGCCTGAGTCAACACTGTGAAGTGTTCAGTGTATGAATCTAAGATACAGACATCTTCAACTCCATGTACCCAGTCTTTCATTTCTAAACTAAGGGTACTGCCTTTCCCATTTTAAACACTAAGAACATGGTTCTAAGTGAGGAAAATGGGGTCATACTATTCAACACATCTGCTTAATGCACTCCTCTTAATCACACAACATTCAGTCCAGTGAAGAGGCAGAAGAAGCAACAGCTCTAAGAAAGGAAGCTTAACTACCTTCTGGCCCATGCACCATCAAGTACTAACAAGGCTCCTTGAAAAACAGTAACATGAAAGTGCCAGTGAGCTCCATCAAGACAGGTGACTTTAAATTTCACCCTCACTTAAAACTGCAAAGCTCAGATGTGATTTTCATCCCTTCTGGTTTTCGTCTGAAAAAGACAAGCATAAGTACTTGAGAGAAAGTTGCTCTCCAGGTGTTCTAGCAACTGTTGTCTGTAAAAGGTGTCAGAGATTTTACAACAAACCTCGCTTTCTGTTAGATATTTAGCTTAGCTGTGAAATTGGTAGGTGGTCCCCTACACAGAGTAGTAACATTACACTTTGGCTTGCACATAAACTGAGTGTCACCTGCCAATAGTAATGATGTAGCTGCAAAAGCCTAATAGAAGATCCCTTCCAACTGAAATTATTCTATTCTATTCTATTCTATTCTATTCTATTCTATTCTATTCTATTCTATTCTATTCTATTTTTTTCAAGTGAGATGCTCAAACGTTAGCAGATAACATATAACCCTCCTCCTACAAGTGACTGGGAAGCACAAGACTTTCAGCTTTATCTCAGCAGCCCATCTTTCCAGGTGTTTCCCCATAGTTACAAAATGTGCATATATGCAACAGTGGGCTGTAAGACTTTTCTCTGCTTTTGCAGGAATACCACAATCCTTATAAACAGTGCCATGGTAGCCATGAATAACAGGTACCTTACTGCTGAGCTACTTCAGACCTGCATGGCCACAGTATCTGAATGGCTCACAAACTGAATGAAATATGTATCCTCACATTTCTCTCATGATGTAAAGAAACACTACTGCCACGTTGGAACCTGACTGGAACATCAGAAGTCCCCACCCTAGCCCATCTGCAACCACTCGAACCCTGACCAAGAACAGATATCGTCTCCATTGGTAGTCAGCTCTTTTGTGCGGTGAGAACCGAGGCTGTGTCCTGGTCACCAGGAGAGCAGTCAACCTCACCACTGCCCTTCTCCACTCTCATGGCTTTTCAGAGTTCCTGATCTGGGCCAGTAGCTTCAAGCCAATGTCCTTCCCTCTACACTCGCAAGTCATTTTCCTCTGTCATGAGGAACTAGTAATGGAACACTTTGAAGGAACACTTTGCAGACAAAGGTTTCCATTTTTCCTCTCAATTTTCTGCACCAGTTGACACAGATCATGCGAACTCACGGACTCCCTCAGAGGCAACAGTGAGAGCATGGTGGTGGAGAAACCCACCTTTGCTGAACAATTTGTTATGCTGTCTAAACCCACCATGAGGCACAGACAGGGCAATGTAGGACCAAGAGATGTGTGATAGAGCTACTAGCCTGGAGATACACTGTGTCTTCACTGAAGTTTAGCCAAGTAGTAGGAATGCCAAATCATCATCAAAGTGAAAACAGTGGCAAACATCATTATTTCTGCTGACCTTTCTTTTCATACTTACCTGTAGTCTCCTAGTATTTTACTTGCAGAGTCGCACCCTACTTCATCTTTCATGTGTTCCCTTCTCCTGTTAAGGAACACTCAGCACATTGTGTAGACCCTGAAAAACCTCCTCCATTGGGAATAATTATAAATGTCAGCAGTGCTGTCTGATCTGAGGGAAGCAGAGACCTCTGGGAAAAGAAAAAGGGTAGGAGAACACTTTTAGTAAGATTGCAGGTATGAAGATTTGACAGTCAAGCCCACAAAACTTGAAATTTTGTCCTATTTCTTGGAGTTATTTCTTATCCTTCTACTGATATGTAACCAGGCTGCAGATAACTGTAAATATCTGGACATTATAAGCAACAGAGTTCAAAGTTCTGTTCTGTGGCATATTTTGTCATTTTTTCAAAGGTTTTCATTAGGATTTCAAGGGATCTCTATGAAGAGTTGTATTTGTGCATGAGGAACACTGGTGACAGTGGTCAGAAAATGGAGGCCTTTAGGTTACTAAGGGAAGGAAGGGAGGGAGGGAGATGTTAGACCAGATTTGGGGATTCTGGTGGTAGGAGCCATGTATGAAATACAAAATCAAGTTCAGGATCAGACATGCTTTCAGAAAATCATTTCACTATATACAAAGGTTATACTCTACTGATAATCAAATGCTTTCCACAGAATAGTCTCCCATATTATCCCTTAAAATTTGGAGCTTCCCTTCTATGTTAACCTGGGAGAATGACTGCGAATGCCAAGGTGAGCAGAGGCAAGGGGACGGTTCCTGCCTGTGTCCATGGTGTTTAGAGAATTCACATGTTAGCAATCACCTTCTCACCTCCCAAATATCCATGAACCAGACGTAGAAATATGAGGCAATCTCCTGAACTGGTGGCCTGCTGAGAAATGGAGTGACAACAGAATAAAAGAGTGGCTATAGCTGCTGTCCCCCTACAGCACAGAGTTCTCATATTGATCATTACTTTTCCAGATAAGAAGTGCTCTTTCAGCAAAGGACATTCAAAACCAGTCCCTTTTCTATCAGAGTAATCATAACAGCACACAAAAATATAAGAGTAATCATGCTGGATCAGTTGAAAGGTCCTTCTCTGCTGATACCTAGGGAGCAGTGTAAGAATGAAGCAAATGTAAGTGAATTCCTCAGTGCTTCTTGCAAGTTTTAGTAATGTGAGACTCAGAGACCTATGAAGCCAAGTATGGTTTCTGTGAATACAGTGACTCTCAATAGACTTCTCTTCTAAGGAATTATCCCATCTTATCCTTAACCTATGCAAGCTTGCAGCCTGTGGCAAGGAGCTTTGTGCTCCAAGGACTCAAGACCTAACTCTGATCTGACACAGCTGTGTCATCTTGGCTTGGAGTTCTCAGGAAATCACTTACCTTTGAAAAACAGCTGTGAGAAAGTCCGTAGAACAGAGACCTGAAATACAAGAATGGGAAAATTACAGAGATAGGATTCTTGGGCCAGGAACTGCAGGTAGATCTGAGATTCAAGAAGAAAAAAAACAAAATCGAAAGGTATAAAATCCTGAGGGAAAAAACAAGGAAATGGCATCTCAACATAGAGGATTGGCTTGAGGGAGCAGCAGGGATCAAACTTTCCCCTAACAATTGATGCCTGCTTGGCCAGGAAGGACTCTTTGGGTACTTTATCAAGGTGGTGAGCCTGACAACATTTAGCCTAGTAGCTGTGTAAATCCCTTCTCTCTCATGTGTGTTATCTAACAAATATTTGCTTTACGCTTTTAAGTTCTGCTTGCAGAATCATTTTGCTGGCAACTAAGGTGCCAAAATAAAGTGTGTCGAAGAGAGAGGTTGCACTGATCAGAGTAGAAGTAAGGCTCTCAGAGATACATGCAACACATTAGCAGATCTATGAGAGTGAGCCAGGCTTTAACACTTAGGATTTCTAAGTGAATAAGGCCAGTAACATCCTCTTAATACAGGATTTTTACCCAGTATTTATTTTTTATTTGTTTGTACAGTAACTGTGCACAAAAAACAGCCATATTCTTGGTCCACTATCAAGACTGACAAGATAGATGCACAATACATGCAGATTTTAATGTCAAAATCTGTTTACGGGGAACTAATATTGTTACGAAAGCAGATATGGTATTTTGAAGAATGAACACTACTTTCCTAAGGAATTAAAAGGGACGTAAGACCACAAGGCAACTGTCACTCTAATGTATCCACATTCATCAGATGGAATTATCTCAGTCATTTGAGATAACATCATAACATAGCACTGTCAGAGGATCAGTGTCTCCTGCTCTGACAATAAATGCTTTGGCTGCTATGTAGCAGCAGGACATGATCATCTGCCTTGAATATATTAATGCCTTAGTCCATTCTCATCATCCCTCAGCTCATGAAAACATTAGAGCTCTCTTCATGGTGAAAGTCCTAGTGAAGTGTCTGTGGGAGACGGAGATGCACAGGGGGCCTGGTAGCAGAGACAGAGGAAGGCACTCTTTCATATGCCAGCAGGGAAATTATTTAGGCATGTATGCCTCATGCATGTGGTAAATGTTGCTATAAAAGTCCCTTCCAGTTAATAATTAATTTTCTAAATACAAACATGTTCTATTCTCACAAGAGAAAAGACACTGGGCTAACTGGAAAGCTTGTGCCTACTCAAAGGTTCCCCTTTACCCCTCTTGTACACCATGTCCACCAGAATTCTCTTTGTAGCAGCAGCCTTCAAACAAATATCCCTGCGCTGCAGTTGTCCCTGTGTTCAGGGAGGATCTCAACCAGCTGTTAGTCATGGAGGACACGTGTCATGTAGGGTAGGCATATAAACACTTGCCAATTCATTACCGTATCTGCCAGCTTGCTTTAATGTAATTCTCCAAAAGCAATTCTTCAAGATGCCCCTGGACAACCACTGTGTATAGTCAAGAGAGAAAACCCACAGAAACATTAAACATTAGCCTCTGTACAGGCTTGAAAATGTTACTGTCAGTAAATGCTGTTAGTAATTACAGCAATAAAAGAAAGAAAATCAACAAGGTATTTAATGAGCTTTTGCCTGGTACAAAAGTATAGGAATGCAGATACTGGGCATGGAGATATAGTGAGACAAGGCACCAGCCTGCAAGCCCATGGCATCTCACCTGGGGTTTCTGACTTTGATAGAAAGTAATGAGAGTTTGGCAGCTTTGGCCAAGTATTCAAGTGCTCTTGTAATTGCTTCACAACCCCCCCAGTCAATCTGCCACAAATGTGTGTCTGGAATAGCAGAGTCCCAGAGCTAAAGTAGCAGGGTTGATGTTAAGTCAAAATTGACTTTCACAGCTTCTGGCTACAGTGACCCTCATTCTTGCAGCCAAGACTCAATGCTCTACCAATAAAAAGTACTAAAATTCATTTTCAAAGTGCTAATACAAACCAAGGGGAAAATGTCAGCACAGTAGACCCTCAGCATCTTTAAAGCACACAAGGACTTCCTTGACAGACTCCATGTACTTCAGCTAGTGATCTTTTAATAGTCATTATGGAAACCATAGTCCAATTATAAGGAGTCAAATTTAATGATGGTTGTCTTGAGTTCAACAGTTTAATTTACATATTTTAGTTACTTTATGGGAATCATCTAGGTGTCCTCCGGTTGCTCAGTCTGAAGCAATGAAGGGTCAAGACTTCTCAACAGTCGTCAATGTTTTCTCCCAGAATGATGAACTGAAGAATGGCCAAGCCACTTCCTTCACAAAAAGAGATGGAGTTAAGATGAGATATGAGATGAGGGAGAACTGGGATAGGAAGTAGGGGCTAGGAGACCAAGGCTTGCTGTTTCTCCAGGACCATGGCTATTGTTGCTGGGGAAAGCCACCAGCCAACCAGTAGCTATCCTGTCTCCCTCAGCAGCAATCTTTTCAGGCATCAAGTACAGGCAACACAGGCAGCTAGGTCTTGCTGCTGTCAACAGCTGCTGTGTTAGCAATTGGCTGCTTTGTGTGTTTCTCCTTTTGATCCTGTGTGTGTTTCCCACTCCTCTGAAAGGACTGTTGAGAAGTTACTGAGTATTATTTCAGGCCCATGTAATATCATTGAGCTGAATTTTTGTCGCCATACGATGATGCTTAATTTAATGACAGGGAGAGAGGCTGCCTAAAGTGCAGATGTAAGCAGAAGTCCTAGCAGACAGCTACACTTGCCTATTTTGTGTCCTTATAGTTCACAACTTCTAAGCTATCCTGGTTTGAAAATTAATTTCTATTTTGTAAGGGTAATTTTCAGACCAGTCAGTTTCCTGAACTGGCTCGCTGCAAGCTACAAGAAAATAAATACCAGCAGAGCGGAAAGGCAGGAACATGTGCAGCAGCCCAGGCTTGTATCAGCTTAGGCTGCCATAGAGACACATATGTGGTTATATACACAGCTTCACATAATTACTGTATTATGGTCTTAGACCAAATTTTAAAATGTGCCTCACTAAAGTGGGAAACACCCTACTGCTCATCAGCACCATCAGGCCTCAGACTGCCCGACAGAATACACATCCTTCAGAGAAATGGAAACATTTATCTACTCTTGATCAACACTTGATGAAACTGTGCAGATAAAGCTCTTTCAACTCCTTCAGTCATTTCCATTTCAGGGTGTTATTAAGAGATTTTTTATATATATTACAAATTTACACATTTGGTTGATAGATGAAAGTATCTGAGCCTTTCACAGGTCTTCAGTCTGTGTGCTCTGCTTTTGGTGCATTTTGTGCCCAAACAAGTGGAAAAAACCAACTTCATAGATTTTTTTTCATAGCAGGAGCATGTAAGATAACTTAACTCTAGGCTTTCTAGTAGGAAGAATTATTGAGAAAAAGAAAGAAGACTGAAGCATAGGCACATTTCTCACCAGAAGCTGCTTTTCATCAATGGCAAAACAGAATATATTGTTTATAAAGCCTTTGAATACTTTGTAATTCAAGATGCCATTCTGTATAGCAGTCATCATGCTTTTTCTTTCTGCTTATAGGTTTTATGACCTTTTTCCATTTTTAATGTCTATTTAATAAGAGAGCAAAAGGTTCATCAGCTTCTTATTCATCCAACCCAAATAATCACTTGAATACATTAACTGGCCAAGGTAGGAACTTCTTTTTAAACTGATCTTGATTTCCACAGATAAATCTACACCCATGAGATGTACATAGGTTTCCCTTGATGCTTGTCATTCACAGGATGTGGTGGATAACTTGAATCTCATAGCATCCTTTCTGATCTCTAGATGAAACTTTAAATAAGTGAATAAGGAATACAGAAACATTTCTATGCACACACACGGTGTTGTTCACAACCTAATACCAATGATCATTTTAGGAACAGTCTTTCTTCAGACATCCAGTTGCCTGAATATTCATGAATATCTAGAAGTGGTGTAAGTGAGCTAACCTACCACCATGAATTTGTGACCCGTTTGCTTTGACTAGGGCTGTGTTTAACAGCCTCTCCATCTCAGCATTTTCTAATGTGATCATCACTGTGACATGAAGCACATTTTTGGCTTGCTGCATTGATGTGGGGAGGGGTGTTACATTCCTTGTTATGAAAGCCTTGCTGACATTTATGGTTTTGCACTGAGTGGAATAAGCAGGCACATTATTAGCCAGATCCCAGTCAGGACATGACAAGAGAGGAAATCTAACTCCCTCCTCTCACAGCATTCAGCTCTCTGGAGATTCATTTATTTCCTCCAAACCTAAGCTGAAGCACAAGCAGCTACTTGAGGCTTGTAACACAAATGGTTTGCAAATAATGGTGCAGTCTCTCCCTTTTCAACTTTTGGACAAAGTGTAAGTCTCAGTGAATGTTGTTTTCCACCTCTTTTGGCATAGCATGGCACCACAAATCATAACTTTCCCACTCCCAGCCTAAGCTTCTTGTAGGCTGCTGGCAACAGAAATAAGAATCCTAGGGCTCTTTACATAATTTCTCACAGTGTCAAAGAAGCGTTAACAAAGACAGAAATCATAATGGACTATTCTTTTCCAGCTGTGTCAGAAGCCTATGTATTCTCTTGATGCATTAACAGTGGAGCACAAGAATACTAAAGAAATCTATGGATTACAACTGTCAAAATGAAGCTGCGTTTAGGAAATGAAATGGAAGATCACTAGAAGTGGACAGACTAGTTAGGCCAAAAGATAAAATTACTCAAATGTTCTTCCCAAACCAACTGGGCTACACAAAGGGCTTTAGCAGTTGGCAGACATTAGAAATAGGGAAGGTGCATTAGGGCTGTCAGTGAATCTTGGCTTCCCTGGCTCCAGCAGGATTTCTCCCTACATGAGACTCCCTAGTATACCTGGAAGCCTGGTTTTAAATGAGCCAAGTGATGGGTCTGCTGCAGCAGCTTCCTTTGGGGAAATGATTTCATAATCTCAGTAAATCTTACCATTAAGAATACTTCA